AACAGGAAAATATCTGCACAGATCAGATACGTTTTTCATCCAAAAGTACTATCCCCAAAATATTTTCCAAGAATTTTGTCCATGAGAGTTTCATGAAGTCACCAGAATAAACATTTTTAACATCAATTTGCCACATCTACTGTCACAAATGCCAGAATGTCTCATAGTGAGCGGTGATGGTATGGCTGCTTTTCTTAGAAATAGCTCTTTGTGTTTCAAATAGGAGATCTAAATCAAGTTGCCAGTAAGAGTGAATCTTCAGACCATCTTAGAGAATTATTACAAAGACAGAATTAGTAAAAGGAAATGACTGTCTCGTGCTCTCCAAAGTCAGGATTAAAACTCGGAACTGGTCATCAGAACCGTCTGGGGACACATGGTTCTGGCTGTTTTTCCTCTCTCTGTATAGATGTGCTTCATTCTTTTCACTTCTTTGCTTCTCCAATGTACATGGCTAAGCTGTACATGACCATAGGCTCAGCTCCTGAGTTATTTATGATATAATCAAGTCACCAGCAGAAACAGACTGGCACTTGCAAATCTCAGTTTCAAATTACTAAGAGACAGAATTTGATTGGCCAGCGTGGGTCATGGTCAAACCAGCGAACACAATCCAGTAGTACAATGGTGGACTTTTTGATCTGATGGACAGTCTCAGAGAAGAGGGAAATGGCTTGTGGACAGCACTGAAAATGCAAAAAGCACATCCTTTTTAGTATGCTTTGTGTTTTCTACTTAAGTCATGAGCATGTATTATATGTCATAAATATTCTTTCTCAGCGATTTCAATGGCATCATTGTATTCAGTTGCATGGGAGCACCATAACTTCTCAGAAAATCCCCCATTATTGAAATTGCAGTTTTTTAGTTTGTTTTAGTTTGCTTTCATGACCATTTATATAGTTAAATCTTTGCATGCATCCATGATAATTTTCTCAGATTATATTTTTCTGAGTAGAATTGATAGGTCAAAAAGTTTGCAAAACTTTTAAATCTTTTGATAT